TGAAAAAGGCCTTTTTTGGTTTTGAGACAAGGGATGAGTTGGTCTTTGTCCTTCGAAAGAAGATTGTCTGGAAATTGGAGATGCTGGCTCTTGTCCATAAGTAAACAAATCATGATGTGCTTTTTGAACTGATTGGTGAAGTTGATGGCCTTTGTATACTCTGCATATTCTTCCTGCCTTTTTCCTTGTTTATTCCCATGACTGATCGATACATCAGCAGTCATATAAGAAGTTGGGAAGAAAACAAGACGATCTCTGGTAGGCATCTATATCGGGTGCTTCTCCACGTATTGAATGCTCCTAACTATTTGTTTGAAATGATTGACCTTTGGTTCCTTCATTTATAGTTTTGTCTTTCAGAGAGTGGATGCTGCGCTGTGTTTAAGTAGCTTTGCGAATGTACCGAGATTGATGTTTTTGTGCAGGCTAATCTTCATGGTTAAAATCTAACCGGCCTTTATTCATGCAGAGTTTCCAGAAACTCAAAATCATCCAATTTGCTGCTTCAGGCAAACCCGTCTTCGCAAATTGGTTTTTCATCTGATCTAACCGCGGAATTGTTGGGTAGTAAATTATCCTCCACTGGGAGGGGTGTTGTTGCAGCAAAAGCTGCTGTGATACCTGGCGGAGGTGAAACATTGTCTTATCCTGGTGATGTTGCTGTGAGTGAGGCTCTGATTGGTGGAGAATCAGTTGGCATTCAATTGCAGCCTGATGCAGTAGCGTTTGGGGCGCTTGCAGCTGATACTGCGCCTATAAGCACTTCTTTCCCCATCGAAGATGATGAATTTGACTTGGACCGACCCACAGCAGGCTTTGCATCTATTCCAGAAGCGATTGAGGATATCCGCCAAGGAAAGGTTGGTATGCTTTCTGTATTACATTATCGAGCTCATTTTAATTGTTCATCCATAAATGTCTATGTCATGGTTGGAATTGATTCCAGATTGTAGTGGTGGTAGACGATGAGGACAGAGAGAATGAGGGTGATCTTATACTGGCAGCAGAAATGGCAACACCTGAGGCTATGGCATTTATTGTGAAGTATGGCACTGGGATTGTTTGTGTGAGCATGAAAGAGGAAGATTTGGATCGCTTGCAACTTCCTTTGATGGTGAATGACAGGGAGAATGAAGAGAAGCTTAAGACTGCGTATACCGTGACTGTGGTGTGTGCTTTTATTCCCCTATATCTATTTTTCAATCCATGAATTTTTCTCTCAAAACTTAGTCGAAGAAAATTGACCGGTACTGGTTTCTTCAGGTAGGGATAATTTGAACTTTCTGTTTCTTATCACGTGTATGTATTGTTATTCTGCTTTGGTTTCTTAGAGGTTTATGTACTTAAGAAATGGCCCTTTGGAGAGGAAGACACTTCGGATTGTTACTTGTCCCCAGTCGGTAGAGGTCTTGATTTTTGAAGTATTCTTGGAAATGCATATTATAAAAAAAAATTGATGAATAATTTGCGCTTTCTTTCATACTTTAGTAGAACAATATTATTTTCTTATATTCTTGACATCCTAAAAGCCTTCAGTCAGCTTAGTTATCTGTGTCACGACATCTGATTGGCTCTTCCCTTACCTTGTAATGGATGGTAATTAAGAGATATTATTATAGGATGCAAAGCATGGGACAACTACAGGCGTATCGGCGCATGACAGGGCAACGACAGTTTTGGCTCTTGCATCTAGAGATTCAAAACCTGGAGATTTCAACAGGCCGGGACACATTTTCCCATTGAAGTACAGGGAGGGTGGTGTCCTGAAAAGAGCTGGGCACACAGAGGCTTCTGTTGACCTTGCTATGTTAGCTGGAGTGGAACCTGTGGCAGTTCTTTGTGAGGTAGTGGATGATGATGGCTCCATGGCAAGATTACCTAAGCTTCGCGAGTTTGCACAGCGGGAGAACTTGAAAATTGTATCTATTGCTGATCTAATCAGGTAAGTATTCTCTTCCCAGCAATCCAAATGCAAATATTTCTTAGGACAGGTAGTTCCCAATCAAATCCAAATTTCAGCTACAACTTTCACTTCTTAAGTATTGGCTTTTTTGGCCAAGATGTTATCCAAGCGGCATCTCCCCTTTTTGGGAGTGGATAAATTAAGAGTCGAAACCTTGGAACCCTGAGTGGGTTGGGAAAAAGAGTTTCTTATGGGAGGCTGTTGGCCTGTCGTTTTACATAGCAAAAAGGAGAGAAGCATAAGCTATTTTGGTCTATTCATGTCTCAAGTTTACTTTATGCTTTAAGCTTGTGGTTGTTATTCCACTCGTCAACACCATGCAGATCAATGGTTTTGGGTTCTGAAGAGTTGTTTTTCACAATTTTTTATGTATACGGCAGTGTTAGACTAGTATATGGGTTTCTCACTAGCCCGATGTCTAACTATAGCATTTGGTTATAACTGGCCAGGATTCTTGTCAAGTCATGTCAATGAGCCTGTGACTGCCATTATTTTTATTTACATTTTCTTATATTTCCCTTGTTTCAAAACCCATGTCTGAATGTGAGTTGACCGTTAATTAAGGCAGAGTTTGAGGTGTACTCTCGGCATTATCACCGGGAAATAAGGATAGAACATCTAGATTGTCAAAAAAGTACCTGTCTGTTGTATTCTGACTTGTATATTGAGAAGCTTTTTTATACTGTGCGAGTGAGAAATGATTTCACTGCTCATTAGATGCATCAATTTACAGGTACCGCCGGAAAAGAGATAAATTAGTTGAACGTGCTGCCGCTGCAAGATTACCAACAATGTGGGGGCCATTCACAGCCCATTGCTATAGATCGATATTAGATGGAAATGAGCACATTGCAATGGTCAAGGTGAGATAAATTATGTATTAATTGCTCAAACTGTTCGAAGAATTCAGAAACCAATAAACACAAAGTTTCAAATGGATTAATTGTAAACTCTGAGAATCTTGTTTGTAGCAGTGCGTTTTTCAACATAACTTCAATTTGTGCTTCATCTTATGTACTTCCAGTGCATGATTTTGTTTGACAGTATTTTTACTGGAACTGGCTGTACTGAGAAATTGATGGTATCTTTTGGGTGGAACGCCATTAAATTTATATTGAAGTTTGTAAACAAAAATGTTGAATCATGTGTCAATCATAATTTGGAGTACCAAATTTATCTTGGATAACAACGTTGTCTGGACAGGAATGTTTGACATCAGGAGAAATGATTGTTAGGATATTAGTGAACTGATGATGGGAATAGTAATTGTCTTTAACGTTTATGAAATGATTCTAAAGGGGGCTGTATGTGTCTGCAATTGATATAGGAATGCCGTAATTTTGATTAAAAATAGTATCCTTAGTTTTTCTTATTTTATGTTTTATGTCCTCCCTTCAGACAGCCATGTTTCCCTTCATGTGATTCATACTTCGTAGTTTATCGTCTGAATAGGGGGACATTGGAGATGGTCAAGATGTCCTTGTGAGGGTACACTCGGAATGCCTCACAGGAGACATTTTTGGATCTGCTAGATGCGACTGTGGCAACCAGCTTGCACTCGCAATGCAGCAGATAGAAGCGGCTGGTAGGGGCGTGCTGGTGTACCTGCGAGGGCACGAAGGAAGAGGCATAGGTTTGGGGCACAAACTACGTGCCTATAACCTGCAGGATGATGGGCGTGACACCGTGGAAGCAAATGTGGAGCTCGGATTGCCTGTTGACTCTAGAGAGTACGGAATTGGTGCTCAGGTACTTCTTACTTAAGTGAGAAACTAATGTGGGAGGTCCTGCATAATTTAGCTTCTGAATAAGGTTGGTTCATGGTCATTGTCATTATGCTTTATGGAATCGAGAAGATTAGTAAACTAACACCGTTAATCTGAAATTAAAGGTAGTTGAATTTCAGGGAGTGTTTCAGAAATTGTACATCATTTGTAGGACTACTAGAGGAAGCTGGTGACTAAAGCAGAGCTTCAAATTCTCATCTTAAAAAGACGAGATTTAAATTGTAGAAAGAATCACTCCACCATCACACTTTTCATAGCATTTGATGCCTTTGTATTGGTGCTTAACATATTGACTAATACTGCAGATGTTGCGTGATCTGGGAGTCAGGACGATGAAGCTGATGACGAACAACCCGTCAAAGTATGTGGGGCTTAAAGGTTATGGCTTGACTGTTTCTGGGAGAGTCCCCCTAGTAACTCCAATAACAAAGGAGAATAAGAGATACTTGGAGACGAAACGCTCCAAGATGGGGCACATCTATGGCGCGGAAGTCAATGGCCGCTTCAGCAATCTCATAAGCAAAAATGGCAAGTCGAGTGGTACTGTTTCTTCTGATCCGGCTGTGTCTGACTTGTAGGAGCTGCTGGATAGTTCGCCTGCTAATGATTTATTTGGGGGGATACAAGCAAGTTCACTGACGGATGGTTTTATTACTTTATTTTTTAAGCCCCAAGGTCAAGAACATTGGTATACCTGCTGACCATGAGTTCTGGAAATTTTATGGCGATTCAGTTTTATAGTTATAATAAGACTCATTATTGTTCTATTGATGTCATTCATCCATTTTGTAAGGCGAAAAGGAGAGACTAGCCTCTTATTGAAACTTCCTTTTGTGTTATTGATGGATGGCAAGATTTATGCTTTATTCACATTTCCTTGAATCTATATGTATTGATCTCTAGAGACCATTGCATATTTCATGAGAACAGAGTTGGTGCACGACATTCTTTCTTTCCTTTTCTGTGACCACCTCAGTGGTGACAGATATCACTTGAAGGAACATACTAAAGTCTCTGTTAGATCAACTCTCCACGCAACGTATGAGCGATTTATACTTTGTCGAATAAAGACACATGTACCCGGAATTTTGGAAGATGCAATTTTCCTGTGTAATGTTCACCAGTCTCCAAAAAACATCAGGAAATACATCACCATCCAATTAATTGCAGCAGAAAGGTTTGCTTTCTTTGATCTGATTAACTAAACAAAACATAGGGAAGCAGAGATTTTTCTGTAGGCATACCAAAGTTTACGCCGAAGTCTTGACGTTCCTTCTAAAAATGGAGACTTTGAGTTCGGTAATAAGCTCAAACACACAGACATCTCCTTCCTTTAGAGAAGTTGCTCTCTGAAATGCGCCCCAACCGGCAAAGAGCTTTCCCGAGCCATGTTGTGGGTAGTACAGGAGCTTCACTGGCCATGATCCGTCTAAATATTTAAGAGTTGCGGTTTGCTTGCTTCCATTGACGCGTCCCTTAAAAATACCGCCAGGGACAGTCTGCAGAGTTGATCTTTGATCAACAAATGATCTATGAGTAAGAACATCATAGGTATGATGACTTCCACAAGTAATGTTAACGAAACCACACGTGTATGATCTCACAGGCAAACTCAAATCCATTAGGAATATGATGGTACCTTACGAGAATTTAATAGCTTTCATTCCTGTCCAAATTTTGCATGTAAGAACTATTTATCTCAGGATCTTTTCTTACCACATCTTGCTTCAATAGATCACTTGACCGGATAACTACTGTGAAGGAAGGATACTGCAGCTCGTACTTGTTGGCTGCTTTGAGTGCTGTAGTTACCCGCGAACATTTAGAAGTAGAACTACGAGAACACAGCATGGCGGGGCTCACCTTACGTTTGGAATTTTCCATCCTACCTGAATTAGTCAGGCAGAGAGCATAAGAAAAATTGATACAAAGCATATGCATTACTAATAGGCTAAGCTTCACTCACCTTCTGAATCTTCTTGTGGCAAAAGCTTCGCTCCTTGATCAGTTCGGAAGCCTTTCGATTTGGAACCCAACTCCAGTACAATTGCATGTGAAGTAGTAGCATCATCGACATAACTAACGAGATCAGATATCATCACCTTGGAAGGCTTGTGATGATATGGATTTAGATGCAATTCATCCTTCTCTTTTCCTCTTTAGCGAGAAACCATCTGGACTTTGAAGTCCAGCTGAGAGATTACAGTAATCATCAGCATCTCCCATTTTAGGCCGGACAAATTCGACAGTGTCGAGGTTCGATTTCTTGCTGTCAGCATTCATTAGCGGATAATCTATCTCCAAAGCCCTTTTGTCAAATATGAGTGAGTGAAAATCTGAGTCCTCTACGTATAGGAAGACTAATAGGTTGGCCCTCACAAATAGAGTAATGCTCCGCAAATTCCTTCCATCCCTTTGATAGCCTAACCATATCATCCCATTTTTCCAACTCCACCCTCCAACTTCCACCGTTAGGTACCCTCAAACGCACCGTTTCAAGTGTCTGAGAGAGTATGATCTTGAAGAAACGAGGTGTCTCCATTCCAGAACTACAGCGGCGCTGTTCATCTTCTCTCCAGAGCAGAGACGATAAGTCATCCCTTGAGGACAAGTTGTTTAATGAGTTGTAACATCTCAACCTTAACTAGTTCTGTGGCTTCCCAGGAGCCAACTTAATTAAATGAAGCATTTAATTGGAAAAGGCATTCATTTCTGAGTCAAAACGTTAATGACTTAGTCGCATTTTTTTCAAAATTTAGAACTTGATTGTACGTTAAGCAAAATGTTTAAGATTTTCTTTATGCAATTTTTCTAAAAAAAGAGAAAACATAAAAGAACGGATCAACACTTTCATTCGTTTGAATGGGAAGAGAGTCAAAGAAAAAAGAAAGGAAATGGGATGCTTACGTAAGTTATGAAAAATGAGGATAGTGTGTTTGAGGCATTTATGCTCAGGTGGCAAATGTGAAAAAATTAAAGTTATTACCTATATGTTATCTTTGGTTCATATGATAGAGGATTTGCTTAATTGGGACATTAATAGTCGGTAAATTAGCAATGGGTTATCATGTTAGAAATCATTTATCACTTGCCTAATTTTATTAAGGAATAAGTGTACTAGAAGTCCTAAAACTTATCAAGAAAGTGCAATTGAATCCCAAAACTTTCAAAAAGTGCAATAAAGTCCGAAAGTTTATCACGAAAGTACAATTGAATCCTAAAACTTTCAAAAAGTGCAATCAAGTCCTAAAACTTATTAAGTTGGTGCAATCAAGTCCTTCCATTATTTCCGTCCAACTTGACAAATGGAAAATGGTAACAAATTTTAAGACTTAGATTGCACAAACTTGACATGTCTTAGGATTTGATTGCACTTTTTGAGAGTTTTAGGACTCAATTATACTATTATGATAAGTTTTACGATTTAATTGCACTTTTTGAAAGTTTTAGGACTCAATTGCACTTTTGTGATGAATTTTAGGACTTTTAATGCAATTATCGCTTTTGTTAATTTATTCGCTAATACGAACCTCTATTTGACCATAAAAAACAATCGATTAATGAAAATTTATAGAACTAGGAGGGTCTATTTCCATTGCCCACATGACTAATCCGTAGCTTTTTTAAAGTGAAGAGACAAATCCACCCCTGATTTTAGCATCCATACAGGAAATTTGTTCCCATTTTTATTTCTTAATAAAAACGACTTCCTTCACCATTTCAGTTCTCATCGGTAGCTCCCTCTTTTTTAACAGAACCGTGATTTTATCAGTGAGAAAAAGAGATATTGGAAATAGAATCATTACCTCAATAGAAACTGTCTTCAGCTAAACCTTTGACCGTGTCTGAGTAGCTTCCAGATCTTTGTTACCGCTTTCAGCATCTGCACTTCCCTTTATCAGTGACTGGACAAGTAAAAAAGAAGAGAACATTTGGAACTTATGGTGCATGGCCGACAATTTGAGAAGCAGAGGCAAGCGAAAAAAAATGGATGAGAATTGACATTAATTGGATCTTACCAATTTATGTGCAATTGTTTATGTCGATAGCTTCTGTGTGATTGTATTGAGATCATGCGCGAAGTCCCCTTGCCACAAGAATTTGAACAGTTCTGCATAAATTTGGTATGGGGTGTGCAGCATACCCTTAGTAAAGGTCTTCATTTTTGGGCACTCTTCCACCACAATATCAGACAAGGACGGAAACCTGAAGTTGCAACTTGTGGTGGAGGAGAAGCATACTAGGCTTGGCAGATCTTTGAGTGTCAAAATTTCTAGCTTCCCAAGAGAAATCTCTTTTTCTTCTCCATTTCCATCGTTTGCCATGACTTCTTTCATTCTTTCACATCCTATTATAGTCATCTCAGTGAGATGCACCAAATTTGTGATCGCTGAATATGTTACTAGATGTATCAATCCAGAGCAATTCGTCATTGCTAGCATAGTCAAGTTCTGGAAGGATGTTACGGTTGGAAATAATGTTGTCAAACAAGGACAATCCCAAACCTCAAATGTTTCAATACTCTGAAGAATTTTCCCCACTAAATAGTCTTCTCTCCACACTTGCTTTAGGTGGTGTAGCTTGCTTAACTTAAGTTCTCTTAAATTTTCAAGCACCGGATGTTTTCCCTCATCAACAAGACCTTCATTGCGGAATATATCATCAAAATAACTGCAGAAAACCTCAAGGCTTTGTAGATTCTGAAATCTCTCTAGGAGGAATCTAGAAGGAAAGACGGCCTTTTCTTCATGAAAGCATGCCAATGTCAGTACTTTTGGCTTGCCAAAGATGTCATCACAAAAATTTTCATCTTGTATCATCTGAATGTCTTTATCGACTAAAAACAGTCCCTCCAATTTGGGAAAATCCTGTCAAAGTGCCAATACAATGAGAGTAGTAAATTCAACAGAGGTTCGATAATAAATCATGATGCTGTAAAAGGCAATCCTAAGGTAGCTGATTTGCATGGAAGGTGGCCATCTTACAGTTCACTAAATCTCAAGAGCTCTGCATACAAGTTGCAAGCTTTTGAAGTCACACTACGAAATACCACTATAACCAAATGCTTCACTATAACCATCCATATTGAAAACTCGAAGACAATTTTTTTAAGCAGAGCTTGGAACGGCTAAGTTGGTGGAGCGAATCTAAATTCAAGATCGACCCAGTTCATCAAATTCATCTTTTATTGATAATATCTTATGTTGTCAACAAAAATTAGTCATTCTTTGGAATTTTATGCAAAGGGATGCACTCACCGTGTTTCTAAAAATTTATAGATGTTCGCAAACTTTAAAGTGTGCTTATATTGTCTACAAATTGATAGGTAAGGGAATTTGGGTTTTCTTCAGTATCATAATGTGACATGACGTTGCAATGGAAATAAAATATAATGGGTGAATTTAAGAATAAAGTAGAATATAGTGAACTAAGGTCCTAATGTTTTCTATAGCATCATAATATGACGTCACTATGCAGTGGACATGAGATTACTGAGTGCATTAATGAACAAAGTAGAAACTGTGGAAGAGAAGTTGTAATCCTACCCTCTCGAATGAAGAGTGCGCTTCTTGGTCTGAAAGGTCCTGTTGAACATCTCTTTGAGCCCACTTGTTCATGAATGCCGCAAAAGAAAACATGTTTAGTTTGTCACAATGAGTCACTCGCCATTTCCTAAACAATGGCCAGTTCAAAGCAAGTAAGTTAGGGGAGAAGCTCTTGAGTCGTGGCATATCATGTAACACCAGAGAGGTTAGTTTCGGGAAAAGAATTTGAGCAGCATTGGAGTGTGGAGTGTCATCTCCACTTCCCACAAAGAGTCAAAAGTGAGAGTTTCTTGAGGACCATCTGTCCGTATTTTGCTTAAATTGTCCATGTGGGAGAGAATCATGCGCTTAAGCTCAAGAAATTGTACCTGCCATATTGAGAAAAATGACACAATTAATGTGCTCAAATTCAGTTATGACCTTAAAGGGGGAATTTCCAAACTTCCCTAGCTCTCTCAAATCATGACATTTTAGAGCTTGTTAGTGACACAATCAAGGAGCGGTTGCTTGATGCTTTCATTTCAGTTGACCGACGACTAAGGCCGAGTATATTGCAATGCAATCATGAAATGTGGTGCAACAAAATGAATTACCTTACTGTCCTTACCACTTGTTAATACTCATGCATAAAATAGATAGGAGATCATTTTTCATTGAGTCATGACACAAAGAATGCAATTACGAACTCAGATACCAAATGAATACTTTTGCAATTTCCCCAATGTAACTTGACATGAAATTTTAAAGTAAATTAAAATTAATTTGGTAAAGATATTAGCCTGTGTTCACTGAATTCAATCAAAATAAATTTGAAAATTGATTTCTAGTCTTCAAAAAATTAGATGATGGTGTATAGATGTATATTCCTTATTATTCAACTTCGATGGCAACCTCTCCTAAATTCTGTCAAATGAATAAAATAATTACTGAATTTTAAAATTGTATTTTGTTTGAATTTACAATTAATAGTAGATTGAGCATCGGCTTTAATTGGCTTAATGGACATTTAATACTGGCAAAGCCTTCTCCCTCTAATTTTTGGAAAGTTGCCATGTTAACTTCTCGGATTCTCAAACTTTCATATTTGCCGATCCCAAATATGTGCGCCATTTTACTTCAGTGCATCAATGAATATTAAGACATCAAAAATTGGTGGCACTGATCATTATCAAAGTTTAGAGCAATAAATATATATTTCCAATCCTTACCAAAAAAAAAAATATATTGCCAATTGACTACCCTCTTTTGATAATGAAACATTGTATAAGGTACTAATTCTTAGATTTATTTGCTTCAAGTTGAACATGCAACTTGTTTTCAGTTTGCCACCTTAGAGAAAACTAATTCTTGATTTGTGATTTCATTGATTGGGAAGATAAACATGGCTCAATGAACTGTAATAGGTAAGCAATTTGTGACCTAGGCTTATAATTATGAAGTTTTAGTTGGTGTCAACACCTTTTTTTTTTTGGCCAAAAGTTGGTGTTGACACTTGACTACAATTTGTTATAGCCTGTAATAGGTAACTAATCTCTGATCCCTTGATTGATGCC